TTAAGTTCATACGACTACTTTATCCTTACGTGTATTAATATCAGACTATGATATATAAACATACAAACAAACGATCAGATACAGGTTGCAAGATATGTTTTAGTATCACTATTATTGGCATTATGGTTAATGGCTTGGTTGTAGTTATGCTTGTTTTTGTTTGTGTGTGTGTGTGTGTGTGTGTGTGTGTGTGTGTGTGTGTGTGTGCGTGCGTGCGTGCGTGTGTGTGTGTGTGTGTGTGTGTGTGTGTGTGTGTGTGTGTGCGTGCGTGCGTGCGTGCGTGTGTTTGTGTGTGTGTGTGCATGTATACCTGAATATATGTTTGTGTGTGTGTGTGCATGTATACCTGAATATATGTTTGTGTGTGTGTGTGCATGTATACCTGAATATATGTTTGTGTGTGTATACATATGTATATGTATCTAAATGCGTGATTATATGTGTGCGTGCGTACGACCATTCATACCCCTAAGCACCCAATTCTCACCTCGTGCAAGAATCATCGAGCTGAACCATGAGATACTTCAAGGCGCGTGCGATCGCCACGGTCCTTGCCTCCGCCCTCGCCGCTCCCAGCGCGGCCTCGACCAAGGGCGACAGTTCCTGCTCTTCCTCGGAGGTAAGACTCAATGGCTCGTTCTCGGGGAAGTCGAGGAGGATGAGGTCGCCCTCCTTCCTCGCCACCAAGGTCCCACTCAAGGTCTGGAACTCGAGCTTGTTGTTGGTGTTGCCTGAAATGGAGTTGTTGTTTTTAGAGTTATGGAGATAATTATCAAGGTGAAGGACCAGCATTAAGAGGAGGAGAAAAGTGCCTTCAAGCTGGAGGAGGAGGAGAACGTCTCAAGGTGATTAAGCAATTTGGAGTATTCAGATCAGTAGCTTATGCTTAGCTGATTAAAATTACCATTTTCTTTGTAACATCCATACGTCTGTGTATTTTTTTTTCTAATGAATATCCGTATCTTGCAACGTGGATCCGGCCTTTTTGTTTGCACGTTTATATATCAGTGTGATAGTAATGCACTTTAGGGTAATATAGCCGTATAAACATTTAACTTGGGTACATAATCAAAGTCAAGGCTGGTAAGAAAAGAAATACACTATTATATTCGTATTTGTTTCTCTCAGGAAGTAAGGGACAGAGATAAGATAGCTAGATGTTACACCAATTGTCCTTAGCTTTCAAGAAGGAACAATAGGAGGAAACTCTTTCTGACACAGTAATAAAAACAGAATGACTATAGGCCTACATTTCTTCCGTTATATCATTATATAATTTTCGTTCTTTTTATATATAGTTTTACAGAGCTATCCAATTTTTCAATTATCATCCCGTCTTTCAATTATCCACATTGTAATAAGCACGAATCTCTCGTTATTTTCTTTATATAAATGAAAGTATTAGTAATGTTTATGAAGTGACCTTAAGTGAGATTTCCCGATCTATTTTCTTCATGTTTTGACGTTATTTTTCGCCTGTGCACATTATTTTATGTAATAGTTAGTGTACTTTTTCTCTTTGATTATCGCAGTGCTTTTATATTTTCCTGTAATGTAATGTATTGCATGTTGCACAACTTTCTTATTATCAACTTGCGAAGGCGTTGAAAAGTGTCTTATTTTCGGTTATTCTGTCCATCGGTAGGCTGTGGAAAACGGAAACTAAACCTTGCAAAAATTATTGCTGTCATTACTTGTGTTGTTACACTTTCATCATTATCAATGATACCGTATGTTTGATCACATTTGTGGGACTATCGCTCCTTCCTTCCATCCCTTTTATACTCGCAGTATGTCTCATTGTTTTAGCTAAGCTTACCCTGAAGATACCATATTTTCTAACCTTTTCATAGAAAACGATGTTATTTAATGGCCTACTTAACCATTTTAATAATTCACGCAAGACGCCTCAACCTTCAATCAATCACGAAAGGAACTTCTGGTCATTAAAAAAAACAGGCTCATATTCTCACCTAGGTTTTGGAAAAGGACATGCGCGGCGGCTAGGGTGGCATGACCGCAGAGAACAATTTCAGTAACGGGGGTGAACCACCTGAGAGAGAAATTGCTACAGGTTTTCCATTCATCAGGACCATCTGCGTTCAAGGGGACTAAGAAGGACGTCTCGGATAAGTTCATCTCCGAAGCGATCTTCTGCATCGTCGCGTCATCTAGATTCTGCAATTATGAGGTTTCATATTAGTGTCTAATACTTTTTTTTAGGGATTTATGTTCTAGAAAAAAAAAATATCATAAAACGTCATTTTCTCGTCCTTATTAATAGGAAGATTTACTTTTTCATTATAACATTTTTTTTTTGTGATTTATCTTATACAAAAGAGAAAAAAAGTATACTTTAGTCATCAGTAGTAATATATTTAATAAGCATTTACCTCGGTCACGGGAACTACGGCAGCTTGGTTCCCGCTAAAAGGTTTCTTGGCAAATGCATCGACAGTGAAGATCTGCAGCTGCATCTTGAGTGTGTCCCTGAGGATAT